CCAGGTAAAGGAAGGGCAGGCATGAAGCCTGAGGAGGGAGTATGCTGCGTGCGTGGAAGGAGGAGCCAGGTGGCCAGTGAGTAAGGAGCGGGAACCTCAGGAAGCAAGGGGGTCTGGGCCAGAGCGTACTGAATCTCCCAGCCCAGGATGAGGGTCTGGACCAGAGGGTTCTGAGAGGGAAGGTGCCCTGGCCATTCTAATTCTACCCTCTAACACCTTTGTTTTCTCAATCTTCTCTCATCTCTGAGCAAGCAGACCAGGAGTAATTTGCTTGGTCTTCATGTTCTACCTCCTGATCTCCCAAACATGGTTATGAGGCACCCTTTCAATTCAGCTAGGTCCCACTTTTAGAGCCAGAATGATGCTTTAAAAGAATCAGACATGGATAAATCAAGAGTTCTTCTTCCAGCCATTAATTCCAAGTAAGCCTTGACATGTACCAGCCTTGAGGGATGTAACTACCAACCAGGTAGCCCCCGCTTTTTGGTAATACGCATTCGAGATGTGCAATTCCCTTAGCAACTTCCTCAGCTTTTTCACATGACTTTATTTTTGTTCTTCAAAATTTCACGCTGCGCATTTGCCGTGAGCTTCACCGACCTTCTCGGGGATGCTCTAACTGCTTGTCCATCTATGTGAGCTACAGTGCTAGGCTCAGGGAACCTGCAGACCTAGCCTTATTTTTAGAGTGTTAGATGCCTTTCAGGAGGCTGGTGGAGCGCCTCTCAGCCCAGCTGAAGGGGGGTCATCACATCCAGGGGGAGGTGCACAAAGGCAGCCCGACAGCCTGGGTTAGGATAAAAGGAAGGCTCAAATCTCTCCTTAGACAACTCATTAAAGTTCCCAGTGTGACAGATGGGAGCCTGGGACAGCTCGGACAGAGACATTCTCTCTTCTTCTAGACCTGGGGTGAGGCCAACCCCTTGGAGAACCTCATGCCACCCTCAGTGGTAGAAAATGCATCCACTTCTTGATAACAGCTATTCATTCAACGTGCACTTCCGGTTTGTTTGCTTGTTTAGAAGATTGTAGTGGGTTGAATGTGGCCTTCAAAACGTACGTTCACATCCCATCATTCGTAAACCCATGAATATGACCTTGTTTGGACAAAGGGTCCTTGCAGATGTAACTAAGTTAAGGATCCCAAGACAAGATCTAGTGTGAGCTTTAAATCCGATGACTAATGTCCTTATAAGAAGAAAAAGGCAGAGGGAGATGTGAGTCCCAGACACACAGAGGGAAGAAGGCCATATGAACGTGGAAACAGAGATTGGGGAAGTGCAGCTTCAAGCCCAGAGGTCACCAGCAGCTGGGAGAGGCAAAGGTGGGCTCTCCCCTAGAGCCTCCGGAGGGAGTGTGGTCCTGACAGCACCTTCTCACCTTCACTGTAGACATCTGGGCCCCACAACCATGAGGGAATCCATTTCCGTTGATTTTAGCTACCATGTCTGTGGTAATTTCTTAGCAGACTAATATAGGGACTTAAAATTCAGGCTTGTCTTGAATATGTTTTCCCTGACAATTTCCAGAAAAAGGGAAGGGGAAAGCTCTCACCCCGATATACCAGTATGAGACTCTGTGAGGACCGTTCTGGAAGGTCTCACCCCTGCCTTGCCCCAGGCTCTAGAGTCAGCCTCTGGATCCTGACGTCCTCCTCTTCACTCACCCACGATGTCAGAAACACTTTCGGTTTGTTTTCCATTTTACATGTTATCTTTAAAAATTACTTTTAATACACAGGTATTCCGACATAACAATTTATGAGCTTTTGTACACATTCCCGTGCTACAAAATGATTAATTGAGCGTTGTATGTTTTTATCAAAGGAAACAACGCAAAGATTTCTCCAAAGTCCTGTTTGACTAAAGATGATTAATTTTAATTTTCACATGAGCGGCATAATGCTATTAATCATTTAATATGTTTAATCATAATCTCTGTAATTCCTAATTAGGTTTATTAAGCTGAAACATCCAGCCGTTATGAACGAATCCAAATCTAGGTTTCTTTCTTGGGATGAGAAGGAGCTTGTTTTAATTTGCATTTGAACAGCAACCTCTAACCGGAGGGAAGAAATGGACTGTAAGCTGGGGTCTCAGCTGCTGTGTCTGCAAACCTAGAGTCTTAGGTCAGAGTACTAAGACCCCAACTGCATGATTCAAGGACATCTCTGGGCCTTGGTTGTGTAACCAAACCTCATGTTACCAGCAGAGAAAACACAGTTCCCTGCTCTTTTTGGGCCTGGGTATTATAATACTATATTTGACTATCACTTGAAGATGTAGAGTGGACCATTCACTCATCCTTCATTCATTACTTTATTGATACACTCGTAATACCTTCACCTGTTCAGTCAGTGACTCAACCAGCCATCTGACCTGCATTTACTGTTTGTCGGCCATGGCTCAGCCCCATTGTCGCGTGCTGGTCACACCACACCCTGCGATAATCCGTAAGTGGCTCCTCTTAGTTTTTATCATGAAATATGCTTTTGCTCTGCACACAGGGCCCTTTGTGATATAACCCCCACACACCCCCGCACTGTGCTGTTCTGTCTGTCCTTCCTTCATATGCGCCCACCGACCATGACACTAAGGGGCCCATGTACTCCCCTGAATCCAGAACCCGATTTCACCTCTGCGTCTTTGCCTGCACCTTGCCCTCTGCTGGTACAGCGTCAGGCCCTTTGTCCTTTCTGGTAGACGTCTCCCACTGAAAACGTAACCTCTAGAATTGGCAGGGCTCCCAGAACATCCAGCTGTGCGGCGTGTCCCTGATTTAAGTTTACTCAGCCCTCTGTGACCCACTCTGATCCCAGCCTCACAACTGTCTCTTTCCTTCTTCTTTCTCTTGCACTGAACTGGGAACAACGTGTGTTGGGAGGACTAACTTACGTGTCCAACATACAGTAGTTGCTCAGTAAAAACGTGCTTAACAAGCAAAGGAGAACCTTTCCTTTGTATGTTTCCTGAGAGAGGCTTGCTTTCTTCTTGTTTTTGACATTTTAAGAAAAAGTCACTGTCACTCTAAAAAATTCATTGCCTTCCATTTATTGAGTTCATGTGCCAAGAACTCTGCCAAGTTGGCCTATATTACCGAGCTAAGTCTTCACAGAGCCTTAGAAGGTGTGCACTATTATTATTACTCATTTTCCAGGTTAGGAGACTGTTACCATCCCCTTCCTTATTCCACTCCAACAGCGCAGACAAAACGACCAAGGGCAGGGTTGGCGTTATCATGATGTAACACTTCAAACTTGCAGAGGTCATCCAGTGGGGGTTTTGATTCCAAACTGACTTGGAAGAGTAGTGTGCCAGCTTCTGGGGGGCCTTGACTTCAAAATGCAATTCAGGGGTTATTAGGAGAGAGAATGCAAATGAAGTCTGTCAATAAATACAAGGATTGGCAAGAAAGTCACTAATTATGGCCATTTTATTGTGGTATATATAATACGTAAACCATATTTATATAAAGCATTTATATTTATATGCATATATAAAATATATAATTTATATATATATGCATATATAAATATATAATTTTTATATATATATATATCTTTCACTTGGTGAAATTGTCTCCTCTGTGTCTTTATTATCTTACACCTGCCTGATTGCACTGATAGTTTTGTCCCAGTTATGTGCTTCTAAACTGTTTAAAAGTAGGTGAGGCTTGGGGCGCCTGGGTGGCTCAGTCGGTGAGGCGTCTGCCTTCGGCTCAGGTCATGATCCTGGAGTCCGGGGATCGAGTCCCACATTGGGCTTCCTGCTCGGCAGGGAGTCTGCTTCTCCCTCTGACCCTCCCCCTTCTCATGCTCTCTCTCTCTCATTCTCTCTCTCTCAAATAAATAAATAAAAATCTTAAAAAAAAAAAGTAGGTGAGGCTTATTCTTCCCTCGTAAATTTGATGGGCTTCCACATAGGTTTTCCATTACAGTTTTGGAGAAGCAAGTAACTGACATGGATGGCATCAACTGCCACCCAGAGGCAATAGATGCTGATTGCAGAGAAAGTATCCAGAAGCATCTCGAGAACCAATGGGCGTGGCTATAATGATACCAAGTGTTACTGTGACTTTCCTGCCTAGATATGTGCTGATATAATATCATGCTGTCCGGGCTTTTACTGTGGCAAGAGTGGGAAGCAGAGTAATGAGTTATGCTAATAGCATAACCTTATCGACACCAGTGTGGTCCATAGAACGTTCCAGAGATGTTCTAGGTCCTCGGTGTCAGACATGGAAACCAGTAGCCACAGGTGGCTATTGAGTACTTGAAATGTGGCTAGTGTGAAGGAAAAACTGGATTTTACATTTTACCTAATTTTAATTCATTCCAATTTAAATAGCCACGGGGGTCAGCTGTCATGGACAGCACAGGCCTGCATAACGAAGAAACGAGAAGGTAAAACCTTAAAAAATAAATAAATAAGTCAATCGGATGGTTACTTGGACTGCAGAACACCAAACGACCTTCTCAAATGTTTTATCCCATTTGCTAATGTGTTATCTGGACAGTTACAACAATTATGCAGGCGTATCTTAAGATTTTGGACACCTTTGATTAAGGGATGCACCCTCTCCTACCTTTAACGACAGGTTAATCCATCAGTCCGATTGCCTGTTAAAACTCCCCAGCACCTCCACACCAACTATCCCTCCCCTTGCTTTATTTTTCTGCATGATGCTTTCCTTCTACCAGCTCCGTATTTATTTACTAATGAGCTTATCGCCTTCCCCCCACACACTCCCCATAAGAATTATGTTCCGTGGGGGCGGGGAGTTTGTCTGCTTTGCTCACTGCTGAATCCCAGATCCACCTTGGGCTCTCAGGGAATGTTCAATAAATACTTGTTGAATAAATGAAGGAATGGATGACCCAATAGCTCCTTCCTGGTCCTTGTTCCTTTGTTCCAGCATTTTCCTTCCATTTAGGAGAAGCTAAAGCACTTTGGAACGAGCACACAGGTCCCCTCATAGCCTCTTTACTCTTGTCCTTTTAGCAGACAGATGACGCGGCACCAACGGATGGCCAGCCCCAGACACAACCTTCTGAAAACACAGAAAACAAGTCCCAGCCCAAGCGGCTGCATGTCTCCAACATCCCCTTCAGGTTCCGGGATCCGGACCTCCGACAAATGTTTGGCGTAAGTAGAGCGTTTCTCCTCTGCAGTGTCCGCACTGGGGTCCCCAAAGCCCTTTCCTCCTCATGTAAGTTCTGGGTATTTACAACACAAAAGTGAGATGTTTACGGGGCGGGGGGGAAGGCATTTTAGATCCTAGTTGATGGGTATATTGTGGCCGGAATCTCTTTATGATTTTAGTCTAAACGTCTTTGTATAGGTTCACCATGGTCCCGCTTTGCCAAATGGTCAATAACTGGAAAATCAAACAGAAAATGAACTCCCAGATAAAATAGCATTGAAAGAAGCCCACTGATGATCCTAGATCAAGTGTCCCTGGACCCTGTGTCACGGCTGAAATAAACATTTTGTGTCCTTTGGGTTCTTCTCTCTTTCATAGTTGCCAAAGTTATCATGATATATTCCTGCATACCTCACTCTTTCCCAGGCACTGTGCATTTAGGTTTCAGAGGCAGCGTTAGAGAATAATGACTTCTGCATAAAGCTTCATTGAAAAGCAAAACAAAGAAAGCTAGAGATTTCTAAGCCTGACTTGCATCCTGCAGTATACACTCTCCCGCAATTAGTGATGAGGATTCAGAGGTTCTTACTGTGATGTTCTCTGCCACAGATGACAGCCTTGCCCAGCTACCATGATTGAAACCCAGAGCAGGGCAGAAGCCACCATCAACCCAGAGAAAATAGATGATAGGGTTGCTTCCTCGTGGGACATGATGACTCGGATTCTTTTTCTGGATGAAATCTTGCACTGTCCACCTTGGGAAGGAATGAGTTAGCCACATCTTGGACTCTGAAGGACAAAACTCTGACAGGGCTTAGATATCCTCAGTGGGTGTTTTGTTTTGTTTTTTTGCAAATGTAGTCAGCCCATTTGTCCATGACATCCATCCCAGCATTGATGGGAGGTGTCTGCGGATTCCATGAACAGAACTACATACTTAGCATTTGACTTAGAGTAAAGGTTGGCCGCCTGGAGATTGTTCCTCTAAGAGTTTGTGGATGGATGCAAGTATTACAGAAGGAATAAGAAGGGGCCAAATTTTAATGCCAAACCCTGGGCCAAGTAGACCTCATTCCCCCGATGCAAAGGGATGCTCTGGTTCCTGACTGCAATTGTGGGGTTAGCTTGCATGCACCTTCTATTTCTTTACCATGCGTGATGTTGATCAAGTCCACATCTGACACAAAGGCAGAGCTAGCGTCCTAATATTCAGATACCCAGACTTGAATCCTGACATTTCAGAGGAAAAGGTCAGCTTCTGCACTTTTATCTCTCTCGTTTGGTAATAACCATGAGTTGAGCCCTCTAACTCTTGCAGAGTAGAGAGACCCTCGGGCACTCTCAGGTCAAAGATGACTTTGAAAAGTGCAGAGCATTCAAAGTGAAAGTGGAGGTTAAGTGTGTATAAAGCAGTGAGACCAGATTTGAATGATGGGCAGCCAGAGGAATTAGATTCCTCTTGCCACGTCAGGTTAGAAAGTCTTGCTCCGTGGTCCATCTTTACTCATCAGGTGTCACTGGGAGGTTGGCTTTGAATTTGGCCCTCTTAATGATCATCCTGGTGCTCTTTTATGGTGTCACTCACTGCAGCCCACCCTCGCTCCCAACCCCGAGGGCGCTCTTCCCTCCCTGGTCTTCTCAGTTATCTTGAAAGTCACTGAAAGGCTACACAGCCAAGTCGGAGAGGTATTGGAAATAATCCACAGCTGGAACTCCCAAAGACGGCATCCTGCTTGCATGGATATCTGAGCCTCTCTTTTCTTACAGGGCGAGGGCAAGTGGTGCACAGCAAGGTCTTGCCAAAGATTGAATGTACTACCCAGTTGTCAAACCATGATCAAAATCCACCGGTTTCAGAGCCAGTTTTTGTAAAAGTCAAGATTTCTAAGCAACTGACAAGACATTGACTTGACAGTATGATAGATACACTTAGTATCAATTAAGAAGATGCGGCATACATTCAGTAATATTGAAATTAATTTCGTTCATCACAAACAGCATCTGTGTTCATTTTAAAAGCATGCAAGATTTTTTTTTATGAGTTTCGGCTATAAAAATTTGGGGGCACATACAGATTCCTGGATTCTTTGTAATAATGCTGAGGCCTCCTTGGTTTACGACCACTGTCCTGAAGAAATGGAACTTAAATACTAAAAATCTGTTCTCCCCTGCCAAGCATTGGTGGTGGCAATCCCATTCTGGTTATATGATACGTTTAGTGGCATGAATCACATTGAAAGGCATCTGTAAACATTCTGATTGGCTCCCCACACTCCAGTTGAGAGAATTAAATGTGGTTTCTTCTTGTAGATTGTACTTACTGTAAGAAATGACATTTTGATTCCAATTAGGTCTTTTCCAAGTCATCTAGACATGAGATCTCTTCTCTTCTTTTATTGCTACATTTTGCCTTTGCCCCTTCACTTTGGCTGGGGCTAGAATGGGGGTTATTACAGAGAAAAACCCTCTCAAAGATTTTTGGGCTTTTCTCCTTTATTTCTTTTGTTAAATGCAGCCATGGGGATTTGAAACCCAAACCAAAACAAGACAAAAAGGAAGCTCCTTTCTCCAACCTAGCTGTGTTCATAACACCTTTTGCAACCATTAATAATTCAGCTATGAAGTTTGCAATTTCTATAGGCCTAATGGTCACTGCAGGTGCCTCACATTTTGTTTTTAATTTGTGGCTTCAGGGCCCGTTCATTGTGATTCTGGTTACCTTTGTTCCACCATGTTCTTCAGTACTTGAAATTCTTTACTTCCTCCTCCTTTGGAAGCATTTGTTCTAGTGTTTGGCATTAAATCTTCTAACTATTCATAGATTTTCCTTCCTTCCTTCCTTCCTTCCTTCCTCCCTTCCTTCCTTCATTCCTTCCTTCTTTCCTTCCTTCCTCCCTGTCAAGGTGGAACATTCCTTGGTCAAGAAGTTATGTGACCACAGTAGAATCCTGAGTCTTTACAACACCAGTTGGGGTGTGAGTGAACAGATCAGAGGCGTTGGTTCTAGATGTTTCCCTGAAAGAAATATTGGTTCTGGCCTGGCTACTTCATTCTTGAGCTCTGTCCTCTTTTCAGGGAGCATTCATGAGGGTGTGCATCCTTTATGTTTGAATTCTTAATGATCCCATGAAAGGAATGGGTGGATTTCCACCGAATTGATTATAATGGCTTGCTCTTGGACAGAATGGTTCTTTAACCTAACATTTAAAATTTATACATATCTGGCTTTTGGGTGAGAGAGGTGGTTATGATATATCCAGACCACTGACATGACACATTGCATCATAGAACTGTTTTCAGAAGTAGCTACTCATCGAGTGTAGGATTCAAATTTGCACAATACCCTTGTTGATGTCACAGCCTTGCTTTTGATGGAGACCCTCTGGGTATGAATATGATCTATGGAAGTCACTCATTATTGTCACCCCAAAACAGACCACATGACTTGCAGAACATACAAAAGAAGCTTTCGTGATCACCTTTTTAGTAATAACGTAGGGATGCCTGCACCTTTGGCGTTAATGCCAAATTCTGTGCACCGTGATGTTATAATGAGTGAAGCCCTTTTTTTTTTTTTTTTTTTTGGACCTGGCATGGTGCCTCCCATTTCTGCATTCCAAACATGAAGCCAACCCTAAGAAAACTGATATGATGCCTTTCCTTCGCCTCTGTGTGTGCTTTTTGAACTAACCTTTACTTTCATGTTTTATGCTGTACCCACGGAGCATCTTCCACAGTTTTTCAGGAAAATAGCATTTGATCAGAGAATGTCTCAAAATGCCTGGTATGTATGTGCCCCAGTGCGTGCCTAGAAGCTTCCGGATTTTATCCTTGATACCACTATTGAGACACCTTGCATGGATCCTGAGACGTTGTCGAATGTGGCTGCACATGGGTGTCGAGCAAACTGATGCGAGTTAAATCTGCGACTCATGTCTATTTAGATTGCACATGTACCAGCTGTGTTTACATCATTAGTACCCAACTTCCCAATTAAACTGTTGATACTATAAATACAGTACGCAACTGTCTTAGGAGTGGGGCTCATATCAGTGTTCTTCTCACTGCTCGTTTCACTGGCTCTGAGAATCAACCACCCAATGGCAACCGCTAGGGAGGCAAACATTGGAGACCATTTCAGGGCATATGCTGTCATTGTTTCATTTAGGGAATGACACATGCTAGGATTACTTCTTCTTCTTTTTTTTTTTAATTCTACTTGAATAAATGCTTCAAGCAGAAGTTCTTTTTTTTTTAAGATTTTTATTTATTTATTTGACAGAGAGAGACACAGCAAGAGAGGGAACACAAGCAGCACGGGGAGTGGGAGAGGGAGAAGCAGACTTCCCACGGAGCAGGGAGCCTGATGCGGGACTCCATCCTAGGACCCTGGGATCATGACCTGAGCCAATAGCAGACGTTAGGATTACTTCTTGATTGGTTGGTTCTGTCTCAGCCAGATCTTGTTTTAAAGGGAGTGTTTTTGTGTTGACTGCTTAGAGAATGTTCCATAGATGACATTTGCTTCATGGTTTTGAGGAGTCCTTTTCAAAAGCTTCCCTGTTCATACACATGTGTGCTTTCATGCTCTTAGGACTGAAATAAATATAATAGCATCAGTGTAGACTGAATATTGTAGAGAGGTTATATCGAAATCACTGCTTCTGCAGACTTCACAAACTGGAGGAGTCTTTACTCTGAAATTCAGTTCACCTTTCAATGGCAAATCCTGCATTTCCCAAATCTGGAAGTTTTCTTCTTCTATTTCTAATGATTTTCTCTGCCCAAATCTAGGGCACTGAAAATGCTCTGTAGAAGAATATTCTCTTGACCAAAAGGAAATTAAGAGTGTCCACAAATTGCAGGGTGAGTTGGCTGTAAGTTTCTTGGTATTTCCATCATATCTGCTGGCAATGTAGTCCTCCCCTTACCTCTCCCAGCTGAACTTCTTCGTTTCTTCCTATCCTTCTTCTCCGGGAAGATGAGAAGCACAGAAGCACATCCATCCACTCAACAAGACAAATTCAATCCGCAGTCCCCTGACCGTGTCCGTATCCTGACGGATAGGCACATTTCCATGACATAGCTTTGGGTTTCCTTCTTCTCCTAGTCACAACTACTTTTGTTTCAAGGTTTTGAGCTATTTCTCTCCAAGTGGAGTGTGCCTATTTTTTTTTTTCCTGTCTTCCCAAGAAAGGTAGACTTGTTCCGGAGAATAGCCTCTGTCTGTTTCCAATGCTTTTTTTTCTCGAATCTTAGTAGAACCCTCTTGACACTTATTCTCGGGGTACCCCCCCTTCCGCCGCCGCCCATATCCTATGACTGAAGCACAGTGGTCGGGGAAGCTGCCTCTGGTTCTCTGCGTTCTAATCATTTATTCCTTTTCTGTCCCTCCCAACCACTCTGGCCTCTGCTACATGGAGGCTGCTTAGTGCTTTCCACCTAGGGGAGAGAGACAGAACACAGACTCTCCTCGGGCAATAAAGGATTTCATAAAACTCCAGGCTGCAAGAGTGAATGTTGTAATATGAAAGCTCAAAATAAGGGAAAAGGAGGATGGACATATTCCTTCATGTGGTTCTGTTTACTTTTTAATCACTAGAACGAGCACTTGCCTTCATTGTGCATGTAAAATTCCCCTCGTCGTTTTTCTGGGCCACGTCACATACTTTTATGATACCCTCTCCCACCTGCACGCTCAAAAATACCCACTGTATTTCACGCATTCTAAGAAAAAGGAAAGGACCCCAGTGTCAGGGGAAGAGGCTCTTGAACGATCAGATGCTTCTGGTTTCAGGGTCCCTGTTCCCTTATTTTTAAAGTGTGAATCACGAATTGCTTGATGTGCATTTCTCAGTAGGACTACGAGATTTAGCAAATAAAAAAAAATACAAGGTAACAATAGCTGAATTTGAATTTTAGATAACATATTTTATTAAGTATAAGTGTATCTTAAATATTGCAGGGGATGTAATTATCCTGAAAAATTTGAAATTTAAATTTAACTAGGCATCTGTAATTTAGTTGGCTGCCCTATTTGTAATCTGAAACCATGTTTCCAGGCTTGAATATGTCGAGTTGCTTTCACTTTTTATAGAGCCTATTCTTGCTAATTGTCTAAAATCTATTTGTTTGTTTAACAAAATGAAGAATCATCTTGAGAGAAGTACATTTTGGCCTCAGGGCTAATCACAGCTATGCTGGTGTCTTGATTATGATGGATGTCCACATGGTGGATCTTGCTTTCATCTGTTTGTACTTGACTTCTCTTATATGGCCTGGCTCTTACTGTAGCTTATACGGGGGTCAAGGGCCACCATCCTCACCATCAGATTCCCCTTGGACATTTTACCATCAAAATCCCACCTCATCAAGGGTGCTTCTCCCAGTGGCTAATGGAGTAGCCTAGGAGGGTCAGTTTATACTCCAGCCTGTTTTAATCTTTGCTGTTCAGTGCCTGGGAAAGCAATTGTGCACACATAAAGAAAGGAAAATAGAACTAACCACCTGACTACACATTTTGCACCAGGCCCATACTATGACATCTCACTCAATGGGGTATCCAGTAAAATAGAAATCATATGTGTGGTTGTACTTTCTCTTGGTTCAAGCACATCGCTAAGGATAAAACAACATAAAATGTCTATCCCTGATATTAAAAGAGAAAAAAAAAAAAAACCTCTGACTTGGGGTACAATTACCAATGTGCATAGTATGATTTACTCCATTTCTCTTGCTTATAAAATATTTCTATTTCTTTGCAGCAATTTGGTAAAATCTTAGATGTTGAAATTATTTTTAATGAGCGAGGCTCAAAGGTAAGCAATTTAATTTACTTTAGGATGTTTAGCTTACTTTTAAACGTTTGCTATGGATAATGGGAAACAACTGCACTCTTTTAATTAGCACATTGTGAAAATACACTTCAGTGGGAATTCCTTTAGAGACCTTCTCCAGTTTCCAAAATGGTGGGAAATACATTGGGTTCAGTTTAAATGTATAAGGGGGTAATTTAAAATTGCTGTTTTATACCTATCTATCTATCTATCTATCTATCTATCTATCTATATATATATATATATATCAAGTTTCCAGAGGAAAATTACCCATGCCTAAAAAATAATGTTGTTGCTACATTTTTGTTTTTCAGTGATAATTATGTTCTTAATATTAAAAAGTGAGTTGATAGTCTCATGCGCAGGTAAATATGTGATTATTCTGTATTAATAAAGTGCAGTTATTTTCCTGGGTTGTAGGGGAGAAAATTTCATATACACCAACCTTTTGAATATAATTTTTTTCATTAATATGTTTACCACTCCACGTTTTGCAGTTTGCCATTGCTTTGAATTTGTTTTTGGTTTTTGGTTTTTTTCCATAGGAGACCAATTTTTAAGTCGATTTTCCTGGACCTAAGCATGTTAGTAAAAATCAGCGTGCTGGAAAGCCTCCAGCACTTTCAGCATGGAAATATGTTGGGGGAAGAAAAGGCCCAACTCTCTCAAAGCATCCCGTCTATCAGAGGTCATCAAAATGAGGTCCTCCCAAGGAGCAGCACGTAGGAACGTACCACAAATGCAAATTCTCAGGGTCCAACCCAGACCTACTAAATCAGACGCTCAAAATGGGAGCCCAGCAGTCTGTGTTTCGACAAACCTTCCAGGCCCGTCGTTAAAGTTGCAAACACTGTGTTTTCCTGTTTTAGACAAATGCCGACACTTCATCTAAATGCAGAATGCTCCTTTGCCCACTGGGGTTTTGTAGTAGCTAAAGTGTCATCCCACTGGCACGCACAGAAAACTCCAGGGCTCTAGCAGAATCTCCCCTGAGGAAAGCAGTGCATTCAGCTTAGCAGCAGATACTGAGTGATAACAGTCCTGTCAGAGGACTCAGAGAGTGACCTCAGCAGCCAGAAAGTGACCACTTTCTTTTTTTTAAAGATTTTATTTATTTATTTGAGAGAGATTATGAGAGAGAGTGAGAGAGCACATGAGAAGGGGGAGGGTCAGAGGGAGAAGCAGACTCCCCGCTGCGCAGGGAGCCTGATGCGGGACTCGATCCCAGGACTCCAGGATCATGACCTGAGCCGAAGGCAGTCGCTTAACCAACTGAGCCACCCAGGCGTCCCGAAAGTGACCACTTTTGATAACTCTGCCCGGTTTCCAGAGCACTAGTCCCCAGGCTGAAAGGAATTCTAAGCTCCTTTCTTGCATCCTCAGACTATGAAAGTGGATATTGGGACAAATTGCTTATCACATACAGAGAGATACTAGATTTAGCCCCGTAACTTTCCTCACACAGGCGATTTGGGACAGGTCAGTATCCAGGAGGGTTACAAGAACTGGTTTTCTCTAAGGGGGCAGGCAAGTGCTAGCTCTCTTGGGAACAACAACCACCTCCTTCCCATGAAGCGAACAATTGCATGTATTATTCCTTGGGCAGTCTGCACCCTTTCCGTCCTGGATACGATGACGCAGCTTGATGTGAGGGAAGAAAATTCCAGTATTCTCCTCTCCACAGCCAAAATGATGTTGCGATATGCTGGATGAGGAGAAAAAAAAAAAAAATCAATTCATTATATTCTCTGGTCCTGCTAGTGCACGGGTCTTCTTCTCCCAAAATTTCAGGTATTTTAGTTACTCTTCTATCAGTAACATGACCTCTAGGCTGCGGGAAACATAAGTTAATTCTCTTTCTGCTCCTTATATGAAAATCATCATAAGAGCTGTTTCTATACCTGCAATGCAAAGTGGATTAAGAAAAAACGTGCCCAGGGACACCTGGCTGGCTCAGTCAGTAGAGCCCGTGACTTGATCTCTGGGTTGTGAGCTCGAGCCCCATATTGGGTGTAGAGATTACTTAAAAAAAAAAAATTTAAAAAAAAAAAAAAAAAGAAAGAAAAGAAAAGGAAAAAAAAAATGTACCCAGCCTCACTAATCCTTTTCACTCAGGCCTGATGCATTCTTGGCAAAATCCTAGAAGATGACCTGGAATGTTGACCAACTTTCTTGTAATCCTGAGTCTGTGGTGCTACTGCTTTTAAAGGTGTTTGTTTTTTTTAAATTTATATTTAATTTATATTTTGTTTTGTAACTTTTGCCAGTTGGAAAAAGCTGTTTAATTCCTTTCGAGAGCTGTTTTGGGCCATTAGAAGAATATCGTTTGCTATTTTGAAAGTACAATGGAGGTACTATTTTTAACACTTCCTCTGTCATTGCCATGATTAGCCTGTCTCTGGGGCTTTAGCAGTGAAGACCGTTTAAGTTTGCCGCATCCAGCGACTGACTTTGTGAACCTGCTTTTTACTTTTGATTAGGAGACATCAAGAATAGGCTGGGTGGGTAGGCTCCCTCCAAAAGAGGCAGTCTGGCAGGTTCCAGGGGCTGACTGTTTGGTGTGACTGGACTGTCCTCGAGACAGTCCTTTGGGGAACTGCCAAATGGGGACAGTAGCTCACACAGGGATATTTTTCAGACTTGACATTATCATCTGCAGGAAAGGGCCTTATTTAAAGGGACATCTCCATTTAAATGGTTGAGAACCTGAACCACTCTTACGACCTCGTGTTCAGCATCTGGCGTAGGAGAAACAGGCAGGAAGTAGGTGGACCCTTCAGAGCTAGGAGTTCACCGGTCCCCGAGGCAGGTCACTCAGTGCTCAGTGAGTATGGCTGTGTGTTCTGGGTGTTTGGTGGGTGTGTGTATGTGCATGTGTGTGCACGTGCATGTGCGTGAACCCTATTCAAACACAGGTACTATCTATGTTTTCCTGAGAATGTATTGCATAAATAGCTCATGGGTACACGGATAGCAAGTACACAGGGAAACCACACTGAAAAAGGACACGCCAGACTTTGAAAATGAGAATTTGATAGCACTTAGCGGGGAGAGATCCTATCATTCATTTTGTTCCTTTTAGGAGATTTAAAAACATTTTGGTGAACTCTGAAACGATGTATGTGGGAGATTCAGCCAGAGAGAACAACTTCTTAATATACCCGGGAAATATACAGTCTGATCTTTGATTCAGTAGATTATCTGTGAGGACTGGTTCCATCCCAGGTGCAAGAAGATGGGTGAATCCGTGATGAGTGAGACCAGAGTGATCCTCGGAGACTTTCCTGACTGGTGGGGGAGACAGACCACTTAGACCCACGACTGCGTGCTGTGCTCTGTGGCAAGTGGGCAGCTGCTGAGAGGCTGCGCAGGCAGACCGATACTGTTAGGGGTGGGAAGGCTTCTGGGAAGAAGGGGCACTGAAGCTGGGAGTGAACATTCTCGTGAGTAAGAATTTCCCAGGGAAGGGAAGGAGAGAAGGTGGTCCTCCAGGGAGAGGGAGCTGCACGTGCAAAGGGGAATGGGGAGACGTGAGACGTGAAGCTCTGAGTCCCACAGAAAAATGCATCTTTAGACTTGTGTCCACAGCTCCCCTCTTATAGATAGTTCTCTGCACCAGCAACTAGAGGATTTTCATAGAAGATGAAAAACCAGCGTACTCTTCCGTCCCGGGTGCTTCAGAGCCTTTATTTAGCATATAAAATGTTACAGGTGCATTAATACAAAAAAGGAAGCTATCACCTAAACACATACCACAAAACCAAAACAGAAAAATAACTGGGATATGGAAAAAGGTCAGAATAACGATTCACAAGAGATTTTAAAATAAGCAAGTCACACTGGCCTGGTGGTCCATCTCGGGATCCCCATTAGTATGCTTTCCCATGTGGGGTGGCACATGTCACTGTCACCTCACTGGGTCTTTACTCCAGCAACCTCGCACCTTCTCTCGGCCCCACCCCTCTACTGAGGTGAGCCCTGGGAGCAGTGCATCTCCTGCAGCAAAGAGCACCTGGTCCTCGCCCTGTGTGTCCTGCACACTGTAGAATGTTAAGGGTTCCACATCTGGCATTGCACCCAGCTCCTGTGCTCTCGGGCCAAGTGCAGAATGTGCTTCTTCTGTTTCCCTTCTAAAGGCTGAGATAAAAATATTCAGAATGTTTTTCAGAATTCCAAGTTGTGGTTTCCTTGAGATAGAATTCTGACCTTGAGGCAGGATAAAAGAAATAGCCTCAGCACCAGTTTGAAAGAGTTGCCCAGCACCTGCACTTGGCAGGGAGGGAACCTGAAAATGGCCAGGTAACTGGCATCACTCTCCAGGTGAGAATTCTGTCAATCTTCTGACCCAGGGAGGCCAGGTCCCTTCTTGCCTTGGGGGAGATGTGCCTGTCCAATGGAAGAGGTAGGTCAGTCCCTTTGGTTTTTGGGGACTGTGTCTGGAACAAGCACTTCTGAACCCCACTTTCTAGAATCTCAACTAGTCATCTCAGCAGCTGGAAATAAGAAATATTGAGGACCTAAAAAAAAAAAAGAGAGAGAGAGAGAGAGAGAGGAATGTAGCAGAAAATGAAAGTAAGAATAAGAAGCGTCCATATATATTATCTTACTTCAAAAAAAGTGAGAACTTGGGAATGTAGTGAACTTCACATGGGTTTCAAAACCTATTTCTGTCTCCAACTTCATGTCTCCCTGATGCACATAGTGCTGATTTTAGGCCAGTGTGGGTTGCCTTGGGGTCAGACGAGAACCACAATGACGTGATTCTTTGGGATGATGTATGGCGGGTGGCTTAAATGTTCCCTTTCACTGGGCTATGTACCTCGCATTGCTGTGGTGCTAAAGAATGGTGCCCGTGGACAGTAGTGATGGCACCAAGCCCTCCATCGATAAGACTCAGACTGTGGATTTTCTTTGCTTGCCTAGTGAGAGAATCGCCCCTGATGCAGCCAGTGCCCTCGTTTCCCTTATTTGTTAAATGTATGACATTCTGTGCATGCTAGAGAGTTCGGTTTTAAGGGGACAATGGCTGTACCCCTGCACCTAAGATCCAAATCACCAAGTCAGACAGATAGTCATCTCTGAAACTCACTCCACTCCTTAAGTTGCTCATTGGAAATCGGCAACGTAATACTCTACCTCATACAAGGAATTGGAACTTTCCTTTGATGGTGGTTGCTGATATGAGAGGCCATGGAAATGCAGCTGCTGGGCTGCATGGTAGCTTTCTTAGCAGACAGATATCTGGGCTCCACTCTGGGATTCTGATTGGGTAGCTATGTGGCAGGGCTCAGGAATCTAAATGTTTCATATGCTATGCCCCCCACTTCCTTTCACTGTGCAACCAAGTTTGGGACCCTCTAAGCAAGAGTCAGCACCATTAATAGAGCGAAGCCTTCAAATTCTGTCTTCAGTCCGTTGAAGAGCTGTTATTTCAAAACTCATCGGTTAGCCTAGTATATTTGGACACCTCACATGGGCGTACCACCAGTGATGTGTGAGACAAAGTTATATATGCTCCTTCTCTTATGGAGCATAAAGGCTTATACTGATCAAATCTTCCAGACTCAGCTAATCACAGATCCTCACAGTGGGACATATTATAAAAGATTTTTCAGTCCAGTCCTCCAAAGTAAAGCTGCTTATTTTTTCTCTATAGAATTCTGTCAAATAATCATTTAATTTAGCTTGAACCCATCCACAGATGGGATCTCCTATAGATAAGCCCATATTGACTTTGGAAAGTTCGCTCTTCACGCAGACCATAGGCCAACACCTCTCTGAATACCCTAGCTTTGGATATCACTTCAGCAACCTACTGAGCGGTTGGGAGTTAGCATTAGTTGGTTATGACTACTTGTTATTTGTAATTACTGTCTGTTTTATCAGTGAGACTGAATATCAGACTTGTCCCAACTAAGCTAAAAACCAGCATGTCCCTTTATTGAAGTTTACCCAGTTGCAAATAGGAGTCCCAACACATTGCATTGTTTCACCAGAACGAGCTGGGCAAATTTATACTGGAATGGTTTCAAAAGGTTGGTGTATATTTCTGAACAAGATGTACAAATATTTTTAGGGGTTTTAAAAATAATGTGTCATATTTTCTGTGCTCTTCTTAGGAACAGTGTCAGTGAAGAAAAAAAGGTGGATTTTGACAATGTGACGTTTAGTGGGGTTGTTTTTTGAGGCTGAAATATTAAAACAAAATATGCCAGTGGTGAAGTAAAGGGTCTATTTGTTGTCTATCAGTAAGAGAGGAAGTGCCCAGAGTGTTATTGTGAATAAAATTCTCTTAACAAAGTTCCTTTATTTTCGACCTGTTGATTTGACAAATGAATATCAAGATAATGTCTTAGAACGTTACGATACGTATATATATTTCCCTTTTCAGTTAGTGAAGTAGCCTGGAAAGTTGACAAATTCAGAAGCATATATGTTTTTGAGGGGAGGGGACAGTATTAATATAAAAAAGCACTACTTGAACTGTTTGCATTATTAATCAATTGATGTTTATTTCAATTCATTTCATGTGATTATTTTGTTTGTTAGATCAAAAAGTTTAAGATTTATTATGAAAAAGGTCTTTCCTTTTTTTTAGGCTTCTAATTTTTATTTTTGAGAAGTTAAGGCTGTAAAATTGACAAATTTGAATAACCCTAAATTGCATGAAGAAGAGATGTTCTTAAGACCACACGGCATGACTCTGTAGGCAATGTTAGAAGATTTTGGCATTCATTGTTGAATTTCGTGCACACGTTTTATTTTATTTTATTCTTAATTTGCATGTCAAGAAAGTGGTTCCCTTTTTTTTTTCCTCGTTATTTCATTTTCTTCTCTGTGAAGACACTGTAAATTTATTTTGATCTCATTTTCTTTCCGTTAGACTTATTTTCTTCTGTAGTGACATTTAGAAAGGTATTTTTGGTATCATTTTTTGAATTCTTCAGGGGTTACAGCTAACTGGTGACAGAAAAAAAAAATCTTGTTCACATTTGTCGCTTACTTATTGCACATCTTCGTATTCTTATAATTTCTCTAATTTGCATGTTACAGAACTGAAGCCAGGACAAGAAATAGAAATTAAAGCGAGAGAACGTTACACAGTGGTCGTTGACTGGAATAATAATCTGCATGTTGTTTTCCCCTTCTCCCTCCTGCATGCAGGGATTTGGTTTCGTAACTTTCGAAAATAGTGCCGATGCGGACAGGGCGAGGGAGAAATTACACGGCACCGTGGTAGAGGGCCGTAAAATCGAGGTGCATGTTCAAAATATTTTCCTTTACATCTTCTTTATAAATGTCTGCTTCACGCTCATTCGTTGTTCCAGATGCATCATTGTGTCTTGTATGTGACCCTACTCCCTTCTCATTGTTTATATATATATATATATTTATATTTATATATAAAAAGGAAAACTGGCCTTACTTTTTTTTAAATTTTACTTTATTATGTTCTTATTACTGATGAAAGGTGAATGGCAAAAGTGAAACAAAAAGAAAGGTTACTCTGTACTTTTTTTTTTTAATTTTCTGTGTTTTATAATTGATGGGTGCAGTAGGTTCCAAACAGTGGAGACAGTATGCAGAACAAAACAAAAAACAAAGCAGTTCTTTTCTTTTTTTTTTTCTCTTCCGTTTTTTTCTTTTTCTTTCCACTGCAGGGTTGACGAGGGATCCACAGTGGTGTCCAAATTGAGTCAAATGGTGAAAGCAGTAGCATTCGGAAGAACAATTGTTTCTTTAAAAAAAAAAAAATGAGAGGTCTTTGTCACTGAACCTTTCATTTTTTGTTTAAGAAGCCAGTTTGAATCTTTGCCTTCTTTGATAATAAAGTGACTAACCAAACAGGATTTCCTGTTCAATATCTGGCCCCTCTTCACTGAAAAAAATAAATAAACATAAATGCTAAAATTTCAATATTCAGAATCTAGTCTTTCTACCACTGGATCTCCCTCAACATGGCCACAGGGTTATATTTGTTAAAACTTAAAAAAAAAAAAAAACCAGTTAAAAATGCTTTAGTCTTTGGAGTAAGATGTTGCATATTTTGCCTTTCGTTTTCCCCCACCTCGACGATAACGCTTAGGCCCCTCACCAAACTCTCAGTAACCATGGTAACTGTATACAAACCCATGCTGGCGATGGTGGTGAATGGTAAGTGGTGAAGTCCATCTGCCGCTTCACGTATTTAGTGCTGATTATCTCTATACATATATATACCACGTGGATTTTTTTGACTTGTCGTATTAAGTTTTCTTGATGCTCTATTTCTTTGGGTACCGGTACGCCTGTAATTGAGTGTACGTTCTAAGCGAGCCTGGGAGGCACTGACTGGATTGAGATATGATAGTGCACATCTTACTCAGATTGTTAACTCCATATTGTGTTAAACAATGCACCCTCTCTTTTATCCTTTTGTTAGCTGTGACTTTAAAGCTTGAATGATCTTGTTAATTCTTGCGATGTCAAAGGCTCTTGTTCCAAGTGTTGAATGCTAGATGTTGCTCTCCCCGATGGTCCTTCCCTCCTAAAGTGTTGCACACGGCTAAATCTTGTTTGTCCCTTTTTTTTTTTGACATTTATGTTCCCTTGTACCTTGTCTCTCCCCTTCTACTCCACTGCATGTTCCTTCATATGAATTTTATTTTGTGTTTAAAAATATTTGTTTCTGTGTTACCATGGAGTACACGCATGCTTTTAAATCTTCAATTATGCAGTTCCTTTTAATTTGCTTTTACTGTCTCCTTATTAAACTTTTAAATGATATGACATTGCTTTATTGAAATGATTTGTAAGTTAAAATGGTTATGAAGTAAATGTAATTATAAAAATGTATGATTTTGTTATGCACCTACTGCCTTTTATAAATTAAAATGCATTTTAGTTTTTTTTTTAATAAGTAATCACAGTCATAATGCATGCAACTAATTGAACTGTGGGCTGGCCCTGGAATATGTGCTCATTTGAGTTTTCTATGTACATAGGTAAATAATGCCACAGCACGTGTAATGACAAATAAAAAGACTGTCAACCCTTATACAAACGGTAAGTAGAGATCGACCTTTTACAAGAAGTCATCCCTACTTCTGAATCTGTTAAGTAATTTAACCAGGGAATATGATTCAATAAGCCCTGTTAACTTTGGTGTGGTTCTCATGTCCTTGCTGCTGACCTGCTACAGTGAACCACGTGAATCAATACGATATCTTTCAGTGACTACAGTTACCATGGTGAGCCCTGAGTAATGGGCAGAACTGTCACATCACCATGTTGTACACCTGAAACTAATCTAACACTGTATGCCAACTAGACTTCAATAATAATTTTTTTAAAAGATAGTTTTCACAACAGAGGCGAATTTAGTTTTCACACAAAGTGTGCATGCCCTTCCTCCAGTCTCTAGAATAACTCCCATTTGGGGTGAGATACAGTAATTATTGGGGGAGCACTTGGGTCATCTACTTTGCTGTTATTATAGTGAGTCGAGGGAGGATGGAGTTTTTGTTTGTTTCCTTTTTTTTTTCCACCACAACTTCCTCGTTGATCCCTAGTCATTTCCGGAAGAGGGACTGCAGAATTTGGTTCTGGCCTTGAGTCTTGTCTGGAGCTGTGAGGATTTTGAAGTGGCTCGGAGGGTGCCTTCTGAGGAGCTCCATAGGATGAATGCAGTATTTGCTTTCCTTTGGGTTGCTTAGTGCTGTTTTGAGCCAGATGAGGATGTTGCCACGTACTGCAGACCCCTTCAGGACAATGCATCTCTTCCTAACCAAGAAGCCGTCTCAAAACCCCTCATGATAAGAATTCACATATATAACAAGAATTGAAAGCACTCAATCATTTTATTTCTGTAATCCTTGTCAGAACACATCTCTCTTAAGATATGGGGGGGGGGGGCTGCTGATATGCTAATCACATACTTAGTTGTACCAAAAAGCTAGGAAGATTGTAATGTAGTAATTAAAGTATATACTCCAAGTGGGATATTACACCCATTAAAATGAGCAAGATGAGGACTCTGCAGGGCCCCCTAATGAATGAAAAATTTTAAAATGAAGAAGTATAGCATGATTTCAACTAAATTATGGAGAGCATTGCATTAAAATGCTAACTGTTGAGTTGAACTGTAAGACTGGAGGAAATTCTTCCTTTGTTTTGTAGGTTTTCAAAAATAATGTAATTTTATTACTGAGATAAGGAAAATGTATGAAATTTTCCATTTTTAATATTTTAATTACATGTGAAACATGGAAATACAGTCTCATTCAAAAGAAAAAAGAAAAAAGAGAAAGAAACATTAAAGAAAAGGTGAAATGTATTTTGAATCATGCCACTGCCAAGTTGGTGTCCTAGTTCCCCCCTCAGAAGACACCACTGTTGTAGATTATTGTCTGGACTTCAACTTTGCATTTTTATGTGTATATATATGTATGTATATATATATAAAATAAGTACCTATTTATAGTATTCACAGTATCATGTACGTGCTTTTTATATAAATGATGTCATGGTATGCACATCATTTTTAATTGGCTTTTATATATCAGTGTGGAGTTCTTTCCATGTTAATACATACAGACCAAGTTCATTCTTTTTAGTGGTTACATAACATTCTATGAACTGGATCTATGAGTTTATTCTTTTTAAAAAAAAAAAGATTGTATTTATTTGAGAGAGAGAGAGCGAGCAAGAGGGTGTGCACAAGCAGGGGGAGCGGCAGGCAGAGGGAGAAGCAGGGCCCCTGCTGAGCAGGGAGCCTGATGTGGGACTCGATCCCCGGACCCTGGGATCATGACCTGAGCTGAAGGCAGTTGCTTAACCAACTGAGTCACCCAGGCATCCCAATATATGGACTTATTCTTACCTTCCATATTGATTGACATTTAAATTTTGTGTTGTTGCTGTTATAAACAGTAATATTAGCATTTAGTAGTTTTGTTTTTGTTTTTCTTTTTTGTGTGTGTGCCGATGACTACGAATTTGGTTAAGTCAGTCTGTTCTTATTTTTAAAAGGGGTACCATTAAACAGAGATATACCCTCGATATAACAAAGCTCCATTTTGAAAGATCAGAAGAATTATTTATTCTGCTGACCCATTTTTCCAGCTCCAACAACCCGAGACATGGCCTTAAATGGTATAGAAAATTTCCACAACAGACTTTGAATGCCCAGTGCTGAAATGAAACAAACTTCTGATTTATGCATCATGAATCCTTTCTACTTGGGTAAAAATGATAGCTCTGCAACTTGCCAGAGTTAATATGTGGTGACATCAACCCGACTAATGGGCATTTTCTTTATTCCTTAAGCTATATGGACACATATTTATTTTAAAGAAAGAGTTATTGATCATTGTCCTACCCAGGGGTTGAACACTAGCCCAGTGGAATTTGGGGACACAATTCAAAGCCCATCCATTAATAGCCCACATTTCTGGAACACTGACCATGTGGCATCATGTTAAGCATTTTAAATGCATGGGGCCCATATGAAGTCCTACAAAGAAGCCATACTTATCCCTATTTTAAACAAGCAAAACCTGAGGCTGGAAGAGAAGTCATTACTGAAGTCTTTCCCTTTTATTCTGAAGTAACAAACCTTGTGGCCAAGCCTGTGTAGATGCAAGAATATCGCTTCCCCTTTATCATCTTACAGAACTGCACACAAATGGCAACCAACCACAATAGTGAAACTAAATGTTCAGCTCCAAATGCCTGTTTTTGTGGCATAAACATCCCACATCCCATTCCAGGTAGCCATGTATTCTGAGTTCCCAGGAATAAGTCATGTGGGTTTCTCATCTATGTACCTGAAAGGGGGCACTTGGGCTTATCCTATCACATGGACTGAGCAGGGGACCCAAGGGTTGGATGGACAGTCACAGCAGAACTGACTTAAGAAACAAATACAAATCCCAATTACATTAAGCAGCTGGATTCTATAGAAGACATTGTGGAGATTTTTGGTATTCAAAGAAAAGCAGTTCTCAAAGCTTTTCCAATCCATAATTTGTGAGTATCATCACTACAAATAACCTTTCCCATAAATTGCAACGCAACAAAAGACAATGGGGCCCTCTCAGATCCTTAACAAGAGTGACTATGTTAAAAGGGGATATTATCACCACAAAAAGAATGAAAGAAAAAGAAAGAAAGAAAAAGAAAGAAAGAAAGAAAGAAAGAAAGAAAGAAAGAAAGAAAGAAAGAAAGAAAGAAAAAGAAAAGAGAAAAAAAGAAAGGAAAGGAAGGAAGGAAAGAAGGAAGGAAGGAAAAGAAAGTTACTATATGAGATGATGAATATGTAAATTAGCTTGATTGTGGTGATATCTTACAGAGTATATGTAATATCAAATCAACAAGTTGTACACCTTAAATATGTACAAATTTTAGTTGTCAATTATACCTCAATAAAGCTGGGGGTGGGGAAGAGAAGATAAGTCAGGACCCATGAAGTCACATCAAAATGAGAAAAGTTACAGTTACCAACTTACACTTCAGCAAATACACCTTCCTAGAGTCATCACATTTTGAGGTCATCTTCACATAGTGAAATATCATTGTGGGCGCCACCAACACATTCATGCATTCCTTCAGTCACATGTCCATCAAGAGCTTAACCAGCCACAGTTTCCAGTGATGAGGAGTAAGACCAGATCCTAAACACAAGCAGGCTCTGCTCTACCATCATCATGGCATTACATTTCCTAGGACATTTGAACTTGGATATAAGAGAAGACTTTAGAATGATATACAGGGGTCTGCAAACACTGTCCATCAGAGAGCTTCCCAAGGAGAGAACTGGGCCACTTATGTATTGCTGATTCCTCCTGAGGACGGAAGCCCTCAGACCAGAGCTGGAGCTCATTGGAGTCACTGCAGATCACATGTTTGCAATGCAAAACAAGTTGAGAACCAGATTTTCAGGGATTCCCTGGATGTTGGAGAAGCATGGATGTTGGATGTGGATTTTTTTTTCTCTCAGATAGCTTAGGAAGGATAAATTTGGACCAAAAACTCCAAGACTATAGAGAAGTAGACTTTGTATCAGCTCTGCCTTTCCCTGGGTACTGAACTACAGGCAAGTTGTTTAAACCCTCCACACACGTGTTCTTAAGTGGAAACTGAGATATGATGGGACCTACTCCCTAGGGTATCTGTACTTATTATGGAGTTAAGTACTCGACACGGGACCAGGGGTACAAAATGCCCTAAAAATTTAATTACCCAATAATCTCAATAATAAGTAGGCATCTTGTTTGTTTTTTGCTATAGATAGTAAGTCAAATTTCTTGATAGACATACTAATTTTAGGATCAAATATTCAGATGCCAACAGAGCCTAAGCAGATAAAATAGATAAGCAAATAAAGAGGGTCCGAAAGACTCACATTCTTTTTGAACTATCTTCCATTTTCTTTTTTTTTTTTTAAGATTTTATTTATGTATTTGACAGAGAGAGACACAGCGAGAGAGGGAACACAAGCAGGGGGAGTAGGAGAGAGAGAAGCAGGCTTCCCGCCGAGCAGGGAGCCCCATGCGGGGCTCGATCCCAGGACCCCGGGATGGTGACCTGAGCCGAAGGCAGACGCTCAAGACTGAGCCCCCCAGGCGCCCCTCCATCTATTTTCAACCTATGTCTTTTTATATAAAATCAGTCTTTCACAGACAGCGTGTTGTTGGATTTTGCTTTATTTTTATTTTTTTTTAAAGATTTTTATTTATTTATTTGATAGAGACACAGCGAGAGAGGGAACAGAAGCAGGGGGAGCGGGAGAGGGAGAAGCAGGCTTCCCGCCGAGCAGGGAGCCCGGTGCGCGGCTCCATCCCAGGACCGCGGGATCGTGACCTGAGCCGAAGGCAGACGCTCCACGACTGAGCCCCCCAGGCGCCCCGAACTATCTTCCATTTTCACACGAGGAAAAGCAAAATATTCTCTACTAGAAGAAAAAGGAGAACAGGTTAACCGTAAAAGATTGCTGGCATTTGGCCTCCAAGCCAGATACACAGTAGGGAGCGGGGGTGTCTGTGCCTAACTGGGGGTTAAGTGGAGTGGTCCCTGGTCACTTCCAGCAAATTGGTCTGTGTGGGATTCATAATCTCAAGTTGGCTATGTCTACTGAACTTTCAAGAAAACCAGAAATCCTGTACTGTAATGAAATCTGAATATTGGCCATGAATATATGTTGCAAAAAAAAATAGTGGGCGCACCAAACACAGTGTGCGACTAACTTTTCATTTTAGGCGTTGCCTGCCATCCTCAATAGATGTCTTTAGAAGGCACTCGTATGCGGTTCCGGAAACCCCTGTGGTGTATTTAAGGGTACTTTCTTGAATATGTTTCTTTGATATCCAACCCAGCAAAGCCCTAGAGAAGACATGTGCAGATTTTTTGTGTGCACATTCGGACTTGGCTTTTAACATCTAATGCAGCCGTAGTTAACGCTGGCGAGCTTGGGCAGCGTTTTTCTATGGCAGGCTGGCAGATGACCTTTGAGAAGCTAAATTTGAGGAGGGGAGTGCTGATTTGGAGGCAGCCCCTTGAGACCCAGCCACAGAGGGGGTCTCTCTAACACAGCTCCTGTGTCTGGTCTCTGCTCCATTGCTTCGTTGTATGGGCAGCTGGGAGCAGTGGGCTTTATCAGCTGTTCTCTTTTGTTGTAAGCCTCATTGTTCAGTTTAATGTCCTTGATCAAAATCTCTGAATTTGCAAGGCCTGAGGATGTACACAGACTGCCTGAGAACTTAAAAGGGGGATCATTTTGTCCATCTTCCTGACAGTGCAGGCTCCTGTCTCCAGCAGGTTTATCCCAAGGGTCTCTTCCAGGTACTGGAAGGAGTCACAGGGACGCGGAGGCTATTTGCATGTGATTTGCATACATTTACATAAGCCTGCATGAGCTCTGTAAGTCTGAGCAGGGGTGATTCTGAAGGTCTGGATCCTTATTTCCTCTGCCTTGAAGACAGTCACCCCTAACAGAGTCCTTCTTTATAAGATGTATATCAGGAAACAGGTCATTGGAGGTTGGAAGGAGATAGAACCCTAACCAAAACAGAATGAGCCCATTAGAAAAAGCTCTCTATTCCTTCTGTTCCTTTAGAGCAAAGCTAAGTTAATATTTATGGAGCGCTGACCATTTGCCAAATGTAGTTTTAGGTGCTGGGAATTCACATTGGACAGCAGTCCTGTTCACTTTACCATGAATTTTAATGAAGGAGAATGGGTATAAAAACAATTAAGAACAAGAAAGAAAGAAAAAAGATAAACCCAGGTAGTGTTAACAGCCATGCAGAAAACAAAACGGGGAATTGAATCAGGGGAAGGACGTGGCATTGAGTAGTCTGCCCTGGGAAGACAATGGAGACCTACATAATATCAGGTCAACTGTGTCAGGAGCTGGGGAGCGTTCTCTAAGCACAAGGAGCAGTGGATATAATCCAGAATGATCTACACTGATCTACAATGATCTCAGGTGGTTTTATAAAGATTTAAAAGTATAGTGTCCCCTGTAGCTTGGAGAGAAGGGAACCATGCTATGAAATAAATGGACAGGGGTTAAGTTGTGTGGGCTTGTGGGTCAAGGTTAGAGTTTGTGTTCTTCTAAGTTCGGAAGGAAGCTGTTGAATTCTGACTTGCAGAATGGCATATCGGATCCACTCATTTAAAATGGGCTTGACCACTAGGAACAGAGTGGGTAAAGGGAGGAAGGAGAGGAGGGATGGGAGGAGATGGAGCGTGTTAGGGCATTGTTGCTGTGGTCTCATCCAGATGAGAAATAGAAGTGTCTTGGCCTGGGATGGTGTCAACGGAGAGGAGTGGATGGAAATGTCTTTTCAAAGTCTAACCAATAGGATTTTGTAGTGGATCATACATAGGGTATGAGGGTAAGGGGAGAATCAAGGAATTATTTATCTAGAATTTTGCTTTGAGGAACCAAGCGGATGAGAGAAGCCATTTGCTGAAGTGGGGAGACTTGGTGAGGAGCAGCCTGCAGGGAAGGAGGGAGGTAAGAAGTTGGGTTGTCATGCCTGTGTTGTGGATCAGAAAGGTCTTTGTTTTCCCCACAGTGGAAGCAGCATTGTTTAGGAAGAAGGACCAATGACAAGGAGCAGGGCAAAACCTGCAATGATGTTCCCATGACATTTCATTTTGCTGCTCACAGATTCCAGGTTGGTTTCTTGTGAAGGAGACCTTATCAATGACCTTTCTCAATTAATACTGGCAGACAGGAGATAGCATGTATCTCTTAATGAGGGAGAGTATTGTTTACATATTGAATGAAAGTTTTCCATAAATAGACATGGTAAACTGGCAGGTAGTTGGTAAATAGATAGATAATGGCATTAAGTAGCCTACCCTGGGAAGACACTGGAGGTCTGAATAACATCAGGTAAACTTTGTCAAGAGCTGATCAATCTATTCTTTTTATTTTTCGATCAGTCTACTGATAGATAGGTAGATAGATGAATAGATGAGAAAGAGGATAGAGATAAATGATGATAGATGGATAGATCAATCAATGGACAGATAGATGGATCAATGGATAGGTATAACTTATAGTCTTTGAGAGTTTCATCAAAATTAATCAGTGGGTCTACATTCAGTGAACGGTACGTCCCAGTCTTGTGTGCAAAAAGAAGTATTTAAGGGAAACAAAACCTTATTTCAATAGTGACAAAAAGACCCTGTTTCCACCACCAGTAAAACAGGGTATAAGATGGGGAGCAGAGGAATGAAGAAAAAGAGTGAGAAATTCATAACTTAATTATTCACTTAATATGGGTCCTTACATACTTTGTTCACAAACTCTAGATTTCTGTGGAGGAAGAACATTAAATATGTCCAGAGAATCCTGAAGCTTTATTTTCAATAAATTTCAATAAATCTGTGGACATTAGTCCACAGATCTCCAGAAATTGGCTATTTTCTTTTTTTTAGGAAATGGTAGAATTTTAGTTGGTCAAACTGAAGTCATTTTCCGCATTCATAAAGCACATTTTCTGAAATGTGCCAGATAATTTTTATTTTTATATCATTATAGAAATTCCTGTATGACAAGAGGTGGTTAATATAAAAGAGGAAGGTGTCAGTGTGAAGAAACCATTGGGACAACACATCTCAGAATTTTATGTCTCTTTCTGGTGATCTAAAATGGGGCCAGACATTTCCATTAATAAGCCTCCCAGGTATGCAAGCATAGCACTTCGAAAAATCCTATCCTAAGACCATCTTGGGGGCTGTAAACTAGCTAGCTCATTCAAGTTGGATGAAAGTTCTTAGAAACAAAAAGTCCTTAGAAAGTTCTAGAAAGTTCTTTGGTTCATCCAGGGTCCTATCTATTGAGATATTGAGCCTCTGTCTTCCTTAGGGGTCAGTAGATTGTGGCCACCCCTTGGCTGTTCTTACAGGTCCATCATTTAGGTCAGATGAGAGGATGTCATACCTCTCCCTTCTGGGAAGAGCTCTCCTAGTCAGAAATACCTTCTCTCGCATCCCAACTTTTACCATTGCTTTTTTTCAGAAGCATATATTAAAGGACCTCTGGTGTTTGACCTTTAGCCCAAGGACACAAAGTCTTCCGCAAAGAGCAGCATGCCTGCCCTTCTTTGTCTTTCAGGAATTCCATATAATGGATATTTTCATAAAAACTTACCAGCAGGAACAGGAAATAATCACCAAACCTTAAAACGTGACCATTCTTTGGAGGTTGTTCCCTAAATGGTGCCCAGTGGGTATGCAATGTACAGAGCTTCTCGATTTGCAAATATTTTTGTATGCTCTTTTCTTGAGTAAAAGTTCCTAAGGGCCAGGATTCATTTTACAGAAAATGCTCCATCCAGAACACTGGGAAAATTACAGGATTCTGTTAATCTTATATACAGGTTGTTTGAAAGTTACCTTAGATATCATGCATTGATTAAGAATTTTTATGGTTCCTGAATGCGCTGAAATGTATTCCACACTCAATCTCTAGTGGATAAATGTCATTTTCTTTGGGATGTAAAGAGCACTTCGGAATTCTCTGGGTTATAATTAGGAATGACAATTATCAGAATATGTTGCTGCAAAGAATTCTGCTTATGTGAGCTTTCAAATTTTTGTGAACTTAACATGAAGGGACATAGGATGGATTATCTAGCGGTGATCCATGGAAGAAGACAAAAAATTGAAATTATTATGGTGGTTCAAGAAAATACCGATATGGGAGAAAATTAATTACCACATCATTTTCAAAAAGTTCACCTGTAGCTGGTCAGTAGTTTCCATACTATTAACTTGTGTTGGCAGCAAATCAAAAGCATAAATCTGTTTTTCCAGGTATAGGTTTCAAATCATTTTTATGCATTCCCAAACCATACAGCCTGTAAATAAAAATAAAAAAATACAACAACCCATTTGGTTTGTGGTTCACTTGCAGTGATATGAGTTGTTGAATCAAGTGTGATAATAATGTTTTTGTATATTTGTTTTAAGGCTGGAAATTGAATCCAGTTGTGGGTGCAGTCTACAGCCCCGAATTCTATGCAGGTAAAGAGTTCCTCTTTGCATGACTTCTTTTTCATCTGTTTTAAATGTGTTTTGCCTGCCAGTAAAGAACAGGTTTCATAAAATAATTTGAACCACGTAAATCCCTCTCCTAAGAAGTTCTGAAGGATTTTTTTAAAGCAAAACCGAAAGTGTTTAAGACCCTTTAAAATTAAAGGGGAATCGTGTATGTGTGTTACACTGTGCAGGACACACGGCCCTCCTTATGACATTTTACATTGATTTTGCCTCAAAAAAGCATCGAGGCTTTGTTCAAGGGCATATTGAACAAATGTAGAGCTGTTCATGCCCATTTTATTTCAATCTGCCTGGATGTGTTTTTTAACCATACATTTCCAGGTGGGGTTACCTTTCTTTCTTCCTGGCAAAGCAGAGAGTTGGCTCACTTATTCCAATAAGGTGGCAGTGAGTTGAAATTGCCAAGAGAAGGATTATTTAGAAAACAAGAAAAAACAAACAAACAAAAAAAACCCCCAAAAAACAAAAAGCAAAAAAATGAAGTGGTCTTTCTTTCTCTATTAATCAGTATTCCTTAGCAATTCCATCTCTCTCTGCTCTGCCTTCCAGGGTAGGTCTCTCCCCTCACCCCTTCCCTGCTACCTGCCAACTACCGGTTGATCAGGAAATCCGTGTAGAAAACTTGTTCATCACATTTTAGGAGACGGTAACCCAGAAGCAGCAGTGGTGATTTTGGCTCTGCTTGGCCTGTCACTTCTGCCCGTTAGCCCCTTGTTCATTAACAAGACTGCATTTAACACCTTAGAACTTTAGTAGATTTGTTACATGGGGATTGAAAAGAACTCTTTCTTTGATGGGGCTCTTGCTCTTAAAAAAGGAGAAATAAATGACCAGTTGGTCCAGATCCACTCACTTAGTGACCTCTTCCCAGTAAGTCCTACCCCTTCTTGGTCCCTTCTGGGGTGCCATCTGTCGTTTTCCTGATCATGGATCAACCCTAGTGTATGACAGGAACACAGGACACTCGGATGGCTCCTCTAGCAGAGTCACCAACTTGACAAAGAACAAAGTGGTAAATCTGGGAAGGCCCGATATGATAGCTAAGGCCTGGATTTCAGATAGGCAATGTTTGTTCTTTGCATGTGATTGTTACAAGCCTGGGTTAAGTCCAGTGACTCTGTGACCGTGAAGTAGCTGCGCTGACTCTTCCGGGGGAGAAAAGTCTTTGCTGTAAGACTTTCCATGGTTATATGGTGGAACCCACCTCCTGAGAGGACACTTAGCAAAGTGAGGAACGCAAACACTGTACTCAGACAGCCCGGGTTCAAGTCCTGCCCCCCTCCACTACTTGCCAGCTGTGTGACTCTAGGCAAGTTACTTTACCTCTCTGTGCTTCAGTGTCTTCATCTGTTAAATGGGAGATGATAATAGTAACAACCTCACAGGTGCTTTTTAGAATTAAATGGGTTAATATATGAAGACTGGTGCACAGTCAGCACTACATAAATTCTGGGCAAATAAAAATAAATTAGTGTTCCACCTCTCTGCCAGAAGGGGAAAACTAACGGAGAACTGATTGTGGTGAATTCTGAGTAAACCACTAAACTAAGAGATTCTTTTCGTAATACACGAGAGGACTAGACCTTCTGTTCTCAGCTTGCCTGTTTGGGGGAAGTCAATTTCTGGGATTGGAGGTAAGGCAGTCTGTTTCGGGGCACAGATATTGCTGGGGTACATCCTTGTCCAAAGCTGCAAAGAAAGGACATCCCTCAAAAGGGCATGCAGGAGGCCAGCCAGCAGCTTTCATGCATCCGGGGGCACTGCCCGATGAAATGGGGTAGCTGGGAAAACAAGCTGACACATTCTCTGCAAGTGTGTGCACCTGGCTACGTGCACAGTTTCTCCCCAGAATAATGGGTCAAGGACAAGAAGCAAGAAGGCATCTGATGAGGAGGTAGGGTATAGATGTGTCACCTGTGAGAGAGAGAGGAAGGACATGTTTCTGGGCCCATGCAGTATAGTTGCTGGTCATCTGGCTCGAGCAACCAAGAAACTCTCCTTTACATGTGATTTCAAACCTATATGCATATCTGTGGGTGTTTGAGAGGACATTAAGACAGAAGAAACCATTCAAACTAGATTGTATGTATAAGAATAAATTAATCTCCATGACTTTTAGAACGTTAGAACAGCCATTCAGATTAGCCCTGAGCCCAGCTGCAGAAGTTAGATCACGGGACTATCGGGAAAAAATAAGTTATAATAAAGATGAATATTTACCGAGTATTCTCTGTGGCCAGGCACGGTTCTAAGCACTTTACCTAAATTAATGTATTTAAATCCTCATGGCAGTTCTCCAGATGAGAAGACTAAGGTACGCAGAGTCCCTTAGCAGTAAACCTCTAAGATTTCAAGCGGGTAAGAAGCTGGTTAGATTTTGAAACTGAGAGCCTGTGTTCTTTACAACTGGGTTATATGCTGCTTCTTTTTTGTGTATAAATATTAAAATTTGTAATTCTTATTGACTGTGTCCTACGATGGTAGATCAGGCTACTGCTCTATGTCCAAGCCAGTCAAATTAAAGAAGAGGAGTAAGATAATAATTTTGGATTTTTCCAACCACCACCACCACCGCCACCACCTCCTCCATATTCAGACGAGTTAACTGGCTGTGGGGGGCAGTTTTAAGAATTCTGGACAACTAAATAATTATTTCTATGAGATGCCCCAATAAACTTAAATCTAAAAAAAACGGGGCACGAATAGGTGTTACTTGAGAAATCTGTGTATGTATGTTAATATTGCCAATATGTGGGCTACCCTTAATAATCAGAAGACTTCTCTTTTTGCCTAAATTATCTGTGTATGCAGGTAAACAGAGTTCATGATATGCAGAAATGTAGGGAAATGCTGCCAATCCAACACTCCAGAACAATTCCTTTGAAATATTTGGAGACCCATAAACACTGAGAATTGAGCTAGCTTAAATTGGAAGTTAAGACACCTTTATGGATGGAGTGCATATATGCAAATGTGGACATAGCAGGTATTCATTTCGCTATGGAAATATAATTACTAATGTCATCCATTTGAATGTCCATGATTAAGAATTTTGGGGGCTTCTTGGATTTCCCCAACTATAAACATAGTCTGGATCTATCTTGCAATTTCGAATATGCCTCAAAGCTGAAATGAAGACCTTGTCATTGATTTGCTGTGGATATTTAGCAGGCCAGCCCTGTGTCTGCCTGAGACAGAAAGCCAGGCTTATTAGGCACTCCTATATATAAGATTTTCTATTAATGACAAATATCATAATATTCCCATAGTATAATTATTGATTTTCTGAAGCTTATGCAGAATTAACAACCCAGCCTCCAATTGTCTCTCAGAACGGGGCATGAAAAGTTCACATATTTTGTAAATTAAAATCAATATTTTCAATCTCTCCTAAAGGTAATTTTCCTAATTTAGTGGACTTTTCCCTAACATTTATTTTCTCTTTAATTATAAAATGGCAGGTTATTGATTTTTGTATATAACCTCTTGACGCCTTGAGTGCATTTTTATTGCTAACGTGGGGTGGGGTGGAGAGGGCAGGAGCACCTCTTAATGAGGATCTTTAATTACTAGCTGAACAGTATTAATTTGCTTTGATAAATTATGACGCACACTCTCCCTCACGCACACATTCCAGGGGAAGCATTTAGAAAGCTGTTATGAAGGGCCTTTCATTTCGGGTGCTTTCTCAGAACTCTTACTGAGTCCTACCCGGAAGAATGCTTACCGAGCACCAGTCTCCAGAAGCAGATAGGCATAAATCAACACATCCCATGAACCCATGTAAATCTCCTCCAAAGACAAGTGGGTGTTTTCCTACAAAGCTACATGGTATTGATTGTTTTGCCTACATCTAATCATCTTCAGGCTCCTTGGGGCTTATTCTCAAGATAAATGATTGATAAGTCAATTAAAGAAATGTGCAGGTAGATCTCAAAACCAGTGTCTAAGACCATTCCATTTCAGACTTTTTTTTAAAAATTGAGGGCAATAAATACAAGTACAGTATCTGCAAATATCTGTTCCCAGCAGTATGCTTCAAGTTACTTAGTATCATTAGAAATAGTGTTTCTAAGAATCTCAATGAGGAGGCTCCATTTCCATCTAATATGTGAGATGGAATATTACATTGTGAGAAGTTCCATTTCCATCTAATAGAAAGATTAAAGGAAACAGTGGTGTCTTTTAGGGAGAATCATGATACCTAGCCAATGAAACTGTTGATTGAAAGCAAACACCTTTAATCTTCATACATAAGTAAAACAAAATGAAAATAAATAACGGGTTATACACGGTTGTCGACCCGGGACTGACAAATGGCAAATCCATCCGTTTCTCAGTTGCCGGGAAGATGGCTGCAAAGCTCACCCACACTGTATATCATATCTGCCAACTCATTTCTGTGATTAAATATTCCATCAGTAGGGCTATAAGGCGGCAAAGCTTAACAAGATTCATAAGATGCACCACTCGAACACACATAACTCACTTCCGTGGTTGGAGAGCACCCCGCCTGCAAAGGAAAATCGGAATTGAGGTAAATTACTCCACAAGTCATGATTAATAGGGAAAGGAAAAGATCTAGCAAAGCAAAGCAGATCTAAGACATAGTTAGGTCCCGATGACAACAAACACACAGTTCAAGTCAAAAGTAGAGAGATGCAGACTAAGTCCACTTGAAAACCTTGAAGATGGTAATGAACAGTAGTCGGGCAACGTTATTATTCGTGGGGTTTTTTTTCAGTGCGGGGAAGAAAAAGGGGGCCCTTAATTGGATTTTCCTCCTAAAAATACACATTTCTGGTGTCAGAGGGGTGGGAGGAGCACTAAAAGAAGGATGCCTGGCTGCAAAGTCACATAGGAAGGTGGTCGGCTCTTAAAACTAGGTTATCCTGGGCTTATAGGGAGGATCAGGTAAGGTAATGGGCGTAAGAGAAGTCTATAGACTGTAACGTAAAATAAAA